CGGGCCCGGGGGCGGGGTAGTAGTAGCTGTCGTAGCTGCGCTGCATGTCCGCGCCGGGCCCGGGACCTGGCCCGGGGCCGGGCGGTGCCGGGTGCCGCAGGAGCGGCTGCTGCTCTGCCAGGCGGTAGCTGATGGGCGCGGCCGGCGGCAGCGAAACAGCGTGCGCCGAGTTGGGCGACGTGATCTCGAAGGTCGGCACCTGCGTGGCCAGCGAGTAGTGGAAGTCCACCGGCGAGAGGCGCGCGGGCGTGGTCAGGGCCGACACGTACCTGCGGGAGAGGCAGAGGCGTGGGCCGGGGGTCGCGGGTGGGAGTCAGCGTACCCCCCGCCAGAAGCAACCTTTTTGCGAGGGAGCCTGCGGTAATTCTCCCGCCTGTCTGCGTACCGTTACACGCGATAACCACTGTGATGTCGGGGTGATTGTAGAAATGTATTGGAAATGGCCCAGCCTGTTGTAGTTCTCCGTGAACTTGGCATTGCTCCGTGAACTGAGGCGATGCTCACAGTCGTGGGTTTAGGCTGGGCATTTTACCTGTCCGATCTCATCTAATACAGTAATTCTGGTTAGGGGCATACTATACACAAACCGAGACACGGACATAGCTAGGAAGTGGAGAGCTAGCATTTGAACTGAAGCCAAGCGGGAACCATGACACATACCGCCAATTCCAAAATTCACTAGTCCTCCTTCAGATACCCCTGTGAGCGGGACTCACTGTGCTCCAGACAGTTCAGCCCATGGCCCATGGCCCATGGCTTCCGTGAGGGGGGACTGCTCCTATACACTGTGGTTGACTCAGGAGCTACCACTGAGCTACACCGTCACAGCCCTTTCACAAATATCTTGAGACAGGGCTTGCTGAGTTGCCCAGGCTCATCTTGCGCCTGAAATCTCCTGTCTCAGCCTCTTAAGGAGCTGGGGTCACAGCTGTGTGCTGCACCAGGCATATTCCTGTATGAAAGCTGAACGCTGCTTTAGGGAAGTGAGCACTCACACCCCAGGCCGGGTCCTCAGCTTTACTGAGGTGTCTGTGCTTGGACCAACGACCTCTGGTTTCTTCAAAAGCTGCCCTTGCCAACACCTCCCAGTCTGGGTCCTGGTACCTGGCCCTTTGTCCCCTGTGAGCCTATCCGCCTCTTGCCCCACCACTGCCTACTTTAGGATGTGGAGCACACACTTCTGTGTTCCTCTCCCGGACAGCACTGGCAGGCACCTGCATGCTCTCTGGAACCGGCCCACTCTCTCTGTTACAGTCTGCCTGGCTCTCCCCTGCAGACCTGACTAGCCGCCAAGTTCTACCTTCTCCCTCTTCTGGAGCGAAGGCTCCACTCCCTCCCGGGGCACTGGGAACGATCTCACCCCAGGGTTGCTCCTTCACTCTGTGCAGTTTCCAGGGTGATCTTTTAAAAGACTACTCCAGCTCCGCAGCGGAGGCTCTTCTGTTGAATCCATCCAGGCTCCACCTCCAAGCAGAAGGCCCAGCCTCCCTGTTTGGACCCAACTCCACTGCTCCCCATAGCCCTGCTCCGGGCATCTTGCTCACCAACCATGTTCTCAGTGCCTCTGCTGGGACAGCTGCAGTGGCTCCCTGTCTGTGAGGCTTTCCTTGCCCATCCCTCTACTTTTCGCCTTCTCTTCTCACCAGTCCTTAAGGAGCCCTAGTTCTGTGGCACTCCTGGTGACAGTAGCCACAGGTCTGAAGCACAGAGCTCTGTGTGTGTTCTCTTGGAACCATGCACGTGAGGTATTGTGCTCCTGATCTACCACAGAGGGAAAAGGTACAGAGGGTGGTGGAGCTGGAAAGTTGGTCTTGAAAAACCTGGCTGTCTCCTAGAGCAGTTGGACTGGGTTTCTCTGCCTTGGTGTGATGTCTGGCACCTAGTACTTCTGTAGGCTGCTGTGAGCCTCAGTGGTTTGTGCCTGGGTGGGAGCTCTTCAGGAGCAGGACCAGGTGGGCCATCTCTGGTTGCCCAGCCAGGCCTGGTGTGGCATATGTGGAGTGGAGAGTGGGAGGTGATCTATTCCTTAACTGCCTCCCCACCCTGGAGCTCTTCCTACAGTGCTCCTTCTCATACTCTGCTCCCACAGACCTGACTTGAAGAGGGCCACATGGGGGCTGAGCGAAGTATGGGCTGGGCCGCATGACTCCCAGAGTCAGGGAAGAAGGGGAGTTTCCTGGCTCACCCTGCGTCCGTTGTTCAGGAGCTCAACAGGGCCTTGAACACTGCGGCCTTGTTGCTGATGCTGCCAGGGCCAGTGTGCAGTCTTGGCTTTTGTCTGTCCTGCACTGGTCAGTGTCCTCAAAGGCCACCTCCCTCCCCACCCTCCAGTCTACTCAGCCTTTGTGTCTTTCTGCGTCTACAGGGACATGGGACTTCTAGGTGGTCTGGG